ACATTATCATAAAAGGAAATCAATTTCTTTGTACATATACAACAACAACAACAACATATCTTAGAGCTTTTTTGTGACTTCTGCTTTTGATAACACCATATAAACATGATAACTTTCTTTACAGCCTCGGACGAAGAAGAAGAAGACCATCGCGGTAGCAAGAGAAGTTTACTAGCTATTCTTTTGCCAACGATCACGATCACCATTATCGTAATAAGTTCAATACTTTGTATCTTAAAAAAGAAAACTGTAAGATCAGAAGGTAACTAATATATATCAATTCCTTGTCACTCTTTCTTTTAAACGACTAATCGGAATATAGTGGAACTTAAAAGTTTTACCTTTGATTATAGGTATCGAGGAATTGAACGAAAAAGCTATAGGTCGTAATCTGAAAGTTTTCAGCTTTGATCAAATAAAAGAAGCTACAAACAATTTCTCCATAAAAAACAAGATTGGAGAGGGAGGCTATGGACCTGTTTATAAGGGTATTGGTAACTCAACTAGTCGAGATTTTTGGGTACTTTGACTAAAATCTATGGAGAAATTCGAGACAAAAATCAAAATGTGAAATTGACGAAAATAGAATAGCTTGTACATAGAGAGTTCTATATCTTTAGGATTCTCTTCTTGATCAGTATTTCCTCCTCGGAATACTTTGTAAGTTTTCCACATAACGTCTCATAGTTAAGACATGCATATAACTCTAGTTTTAGATATTTGAATTACTTTTTAACCATCTCCGGCTCTCTGTACCTCTGAATCTTAAAATTTAGATCATGAAGGATCCGCGACCTCTAAACCATACTCCTTATTGTTCCAGGGAAGGTTAAGTGATGGACAGGAAATCGCAGTAAAACGTCTTTCAGAATGCTCTAAGCAAGGAGTAGAAGAGTTTCAGAATGAGGTCTCACTTGCTTCAAAGTTGCAACATGTCAATGTTCTACAACTTCAGGGATTTTGCATCGAAAAAGAAGAGAAAATACTGATTTATGAGTGTTTATGAGTACATGTCAAATAGAAGTTTGGATTTCTACCTTTATGGTGCGCGTAATAAACTCTTAACTCATTATAAAATTATTCATAGTATACTTGACAATGCTTACATATTGTTTAAACAAACATTTAGGAACAGAGAACTTCA